AGTTGATCAATGTTGTGGTTTCCAACTTGAAACAATCGATCCACTTTTTTGGAGGTATTTTCCACAAGGGGTTCAAATCCAAATCCAGTTCCCAACTCAAATCACCAAACTGATGGGCTGCTCCAACAATCATAGAACTGTTCAAACCCAAACACACCATTCTTCCCCAAAATTCCCTCCCCCCCCAACACACCTCCAAAAATGGCTTCCGGTCTTGGGGAAAAAAGATCCAGATCCCCGCCAAAAAAAAGGGGGGAAAAGCAATCCATCTCGGGGAAAAACACACACAACAGGGTCCCCGATAATTTTAAAAGAACAAAAAAAAACAACGAGACGCCCATGTTGGGTCCTCCCACTCCAACTCCGTCCGCGACTCGCCCTCGAACCCCTCGCGCAGCCTTCATGGAGGCGCCCGGCCAGCCAGCGCTGGACTGCGGCCGAGGGCTTTCGGTTGAAAAGACATGGCCACCGACATGTCAAGTGTGGGTGTATGTGTATATATATATATATATATAGATAGATAGATAGATAGATAGATAGATAGATAGATAGATAGATAGATAGGCATACATGTACACAATGTGTATATACTTATATATATATATATATATGTATATATATATATATTTATGTGTGTGTATGTATTCATATACACATAGACGCATGTATACATGTATGCATATATATGTACCGGTACATATGGGTTTGCGTGTAATAAACCTATATATATATATACATACATATGTATTTACATATGCTCACACGCAACACAGACCCCATGATCCACGCCTCCATGCCTTCATTGGTACATCAGTTTCATGCCGCATGTATTTCCCTTGCGCTTCAGTTAAGGCCAAATCAATTCCAATTGACGCGGTTGATGTACTATATGTCCTCAAGAAAGGTCTGCCAGGATTTCCCATTGAAGAACTAAGTCAAAATAAGATGTCTAACTAATCTTTAATGAACGCCCTACTTAAAATAAAAGCCTTGCTATTTGAAGCTTGTAAACCCGCAGATCCGAGATTGCAGGTTCCTTGGCTTTCTACACGCTGTTCACGCCGTTTAAGCCGGCAGGCACATTAGAAGCAGCAACCAGCTTGTGTTTCCTCACTAAAGTCTGCTTTAAGTCTATTTCTAAAATCATCATTATCTTCTACAGCTTGCCGTTCCTCACTAGATTCTATTTCAATTCAAATCCTACCTCGAAAGGAACATACATTTAAAGTCTAATTCAAAATGACAACTCTAGTTACACTAGCTAGAAGAAACTACCAGCTGGTCTTTGCACACTAGGGTTCTAGTCAAATCTTAGTCAGAACCCTACGTGGAAAGGAATTCCTATGTATAGTCTAGTTCAAAATCATAGTGCTAATTGAATTCTAATTAAGATCCTGCTTAACTCAAATATTCTAAATTCAAGCGTAAACCGATAGAACTGAAACTACGTTCTCCTCGGATTTCTATGGTTGCTTCACACACGCCCTCAAGCAAGCAAGCAAGCAAGACGATTTACAAATAGAACTGCCCCGGAAGGCACCTTCTCAACACTTTTTGAACAGCAACCTGCTCAAGGGCCCGAAGTGCTCTTTGGTGGACATCATTTTGGTGGGGATTCATGTCTCACTTTGTGGGTGGTTCCCGAATAAAATTCATAGCCATGTCCCCCAACAAATCCTAAAAGGCCGAGTCTCCAACAGTCTTCAGCCATCCAGGCTGCCAAGGCTAGGTATTCTATGGGCCCTCGACACTTTCTGCTCTTAGCACAAAACGCAGACAGGCTCCTTTTTGGTGGTTTAAAAAGGCCCAAAGTGCTGAGGGGTCCCTAAAAAACTCGCTGTATGCTCTTTCAAAGGCCCATGATTTAGTTCTAAAAGAGAACAGCATCCCAAGAGAGAAAGACAAAGAACCTCGAGGAACCCAAGAAAAGCATAATTCTGAGGGCGATGCTTGGTTCAGCCTCTTTGTCTGTTCTTCTTTTTTTCTCGGGTTGGTTTTGTTGTTTTCCTCAAGTTGTTTTTAGTTTCTCACCAAAACAAAACTGTGTTGTTTGGTTTTTAGGTGGTTGCAAAGAAAAACACCAAAAACCCAACACGTGTCTGAGTTGGATAATCAAGAAACACAAAACACACGTGAGTGTTAATTTGCCTGCCTATAATTACCTAAAAACCAAAAGCACAGATTGGTTGATGTTTGGTGAGAAAGCCAAAACAACTCGACGGAAACAAAAAAACAAAACAAAATAAAAAAGATAGACAAAAAAGGAAAAACAAGAGGCTGAACCAAAAATCCTCCTCCTATGGTTTGGGGTTTCTCCAGGTTGGTTGGTTTTCTCTCGCGGGATGCTGTTCTGTTGTACAACTAAATCATCTTGCACGGTCACCAAAACATCTGCTGGCAACCAAACATAGCAGGCAAGGTGCTGTTCTCTTCAACAACGAAATCATCTTGCAAGGTCACCAAGACATCTGAAGACATCTGTGTCTGTTAAAATTAGCTA